TAGGGACACCCCAATATAGGCCTTAACATACCATGATCCTTATTATAGAAACGCCCAAAAAGGTACCCCCAATTTTGGGAAACCACCATTTGGCTGAGCAGGACTTGTTAGCAAGCTTACCCAAAAATCCATGCATTTTCTTACTAGGCGATTCAGAAGACCTTTGGTAATTACATGCGATATATCCTGGGTTGCTGTCAAGGAACTTAATTCAAGTTACCATAATTGGTATACATAATAAGTAATAGGGTTTCCCCAATATACTAACTTAATTTAAGTCGCTTAACAGCAACCCACTCTATCTGCACCACTTCTGGTTTCGTGAGCTGACCCGTGCGGCTGCTGCCAAACAACCTTGCAGCAACTGAGTACCCATTGGGGTAATATCAGGGTTACATTGGGGTTATATTGGGACACTTGAAAACAACATGGAAACCATTATTTAGGGTGTAGGGCAATTGGTCAATATTGGGGTTGTATGTTGGTCTGCGTTTTGGGAACCCCTTCGAAGCGGAAGTACCTGAATCAATTCTTTGGCAGCAGCTCCGAGGAACACAGATTGTGTACTCCTCGGGTGCGGCTATGCAAAGGTCACAAAGCGCGGAAGCTTTAAGCTGATCCCGGCAGTTGTGATGCAAAGGATAGCATCTGCTCTTGCAGATCAGTTCGTGGATCCCTTTCTTTGGCGTGGCACCCTATCTCTACTGGCCTTGCCAGCCCAAAGAAGTTTCAGCACTCGAGCTGCAACTGCGAAGAACATGAACTTGGTGGAAGCCACGCCTTTCTTGAGCCCTCACTGGCTCTGACCCAATGTATAGGCCCGGTCCTGGTTCCAGTTGCCAGATGACTACATGCGAAGGACTTGTGACTTCTGGCTCCGTCATCACTGTGCTATGGCCCCATGCTTGAGAGATCTTGGCAACTGGATTCTCTGCCCGTTTAGTAGTTGCCTAGACTGGAGGTGTGGGAAGGACGGTGCTCCTCCCCTAAACCCTAAATAGTAGTTTCCATTTTCTTTTCCATTATCCCTATATGACCCCAATATAACCCTATAAACCCCTTTGAAGGGGTCCCTAATATATTATAGTAGTTTCCATTTTACTTTCCATTATCCCTATATAACCCCAATAGAACCCTATAAACCCCTTTAAAGGGGTCCCGAATATACTATAGTAGTTTCCATTTTATTTTCCATTATCCCTATATGACCCCAATATAACCCCTATAGACCCTTTACAGGGGTCCCTAATATACTATAGTAGTTTCCATTTTCTTTTCCATTATCCCTATATGAAACCCCAATATAACCCCAATATACTCCCAGTTTCCATTTCATTTTCCATTTTCTTTTCCATTTGATTCTCCATTATTGGGGTAATATTGTATGAAACCCCTATATAATCCCTATATAAACCTTAAATAGTAGTTTCCATTTTCTTTTCCATTATCCCTATATGAAACCCCTATATTCTATCTACTTCCCGCAGCTCTTGCGAGGGAAGAGATGCTACAAGCGTGGTCCACATGTGGCTGCAGTGCTTGGCTGGCGCTCTCGGCCGCGTGGCATGAAACAAGTGAACTGTTGTCTAAACTCCTTAAAGGGGTTTTATATATGGGGTTATATAGGGGACTACTATAAGGGTTATTAAGGGGGATACTAGGAGTTTAGACTATAGCTCAAATGAACAGGGACTGCAGTTCCCCACTGGGAGATGCTACGCACAATGAGCAATGGCAGGCATCATTTTTTGGGGATGCTTACAATAATAACTGACTAGTGGGAAGCTCAGTTGACTGCCTTGCTGCTGTCTGGGCCCAAGCCTTTACTGCAGGCACATGCCAATGCCACATGGCTCACATCCACTGAGATGCATGTGCACAGCTTGTTGGGCTCTATACCCCTAAACCCTAAACCCCTAAACCCCTAGCATCGAAGTAAGTCCTGCCCCAGGAAAACCCTGCCCTTGGCGATTAGCATCTGTAGCAGTGCTGCAAGCCCAACCTAGTGTATAGTCCCCCTCAAGTAGATAGAATATAGGGGTTTTATATAGGGATAATGGCAAAGAACATGGAAACTACTATTTAGGGTTTAGGGTTTGGGGTTTATAGTCCCCCTTAAGTAGATAAACTATGGCTTTGGGTGTATTATAATAAGATCCCCATATACCCCATACTCTTTCTACTTAAGGGGGACTATAATCCCAATGTATACCCTATTATAATACAGTAGTTATACCCTATATTCTATCTACTTAAGGGGGACTATAGATGGACGCCAGGGTCCAAAGCCTGCTGGCCTGTGAAGGCCTAGGTTTGCAGCACTAAGTAGCAGTGACAACGTGGAGGGAGGTTTCACCTGCAATCAGAATCAGAAGATAAAAGCAATAGTCTAAACTCCTTAATGGTGGGTTATGTAGGGAATTATATAGGGGACTACTATAGGGGCTATTAAGGGGGATACTAGGAGTTTAGACTACAGTTCATATTAAGGTGTTCAAGCTTCCAGGTCGGGTTTGGTTTGGGATGCTGGCAGATCCTAGCTGGCTTCAAGCTTCCGTGTATAGCGGAAGCTTGAAAAGCTACAACTTCAAAAGACGCACAGGACCTCTCAACCCCAAACCACGGCACCTACACGCGAGCGGCAAAGCATCACCACGCATTCAGCCCTCCCCAAATGTAGATCAGATAGAATTCAAGAGGTTGGAAAACTGTGTGAGGCTTTCTCAAGGCCCGAGATTTTTTTCGAGAGGACTACCACTCTGAACGTCCCTACACCCTTAAACCCTAAACCTTATATACCCCTATATACCCCTATACACCCCTATCATACCCCTATTATTACCCTAGTTATTGTAACTGAATTCAAGTTCCTTTGAGCCCTTAAACCCTAAACCTTCTATACCCCTATATACCCTTATTATACCCCTATTATTACCCTTGGTATGGTTACTGAATTCAAATTCCTTTGAGCCCTTAAACCCTAGAACCTTATATACCCCTATATACCCATATTATACCCTTGTTATGGTTACTGAATTCAAGTTCCTTGAGCCCTTAACTACAAGGTTCCTGAACATATTTTTTAAATTTCTGTTACCTAGAATCCTAATATTTAGCTGAAATTGTAATTTCTGCTGGGGTTCCAAATCCCTTAGAGGTCAAATCCTAGAACCCAGCCATGGCGGGGAGCTCCGCCCGTCGGCGGCGAGAGGAGCCCAAGGCGGAGGCGAAAGCGGAGAAAGCTGGGCAAGGCGCATTGGGGTGATATTGAGGTTATGTAGGGAATATATAGGGGATATACATCCCCTATAGGGATTATATAGGGGGTTTATAGGGGATATATAGGGGATAGCATGGGATAATGGCAGATAACATGGAAACTGTTATCTATTCTGCGGCGGGAAAAAGTGCTGAACACGCTGAGAGCTTCTGTAGTACGAATACTAACAACTACGGCTACTACTTACTACCGCTACCGCTACCACTACGACGACAGCAATTACTGCTACTACTGCTAGTTCCATTCTCGCCCTCGACGGCTACTGCCAGTACACGTCAAGCTGCTGCTGCTGCTGCCGCAGCTGCGACGGCTGCGAATGAGAGACTCATGCAAATAACAATGCTCCAAGTTTTTCACATGGCAACCAGCCTTGTCATTGTCATGCCAGTCCTCCTAGTAAATTTTCGGGTGAAGAACACTTTAAAGATATCTTTCTATCCATATTTCTTTAGTTTATGTCATTGTTCGCTTCATTCGTTTGTCCCACTTGTATTAAAGTAGTTTCATTGTTATGCTCCCAGGTCTTCTCCTTATTCTTGCCCAGTTGCTTTTTGGTGTTGTCGTCTACGGCCATGATGCTTGCCGCAGTTGGGTGGTGGCCAAGGCGGCGGTGGTGGTGCCTGATGGCAAACTGCATCACCAAAATTGCGCTTGCTGGTGTTTCATGAACCCTAAACCCTAAACCTACTGGAGGATGCCTTCAGACCTTGTACCTTTTACACCCACTTGGCAGGACAGCCTGGCGAGGTAGCAACCGGGTCTTCTAGACCGGGCCACTGGTGTCTTGGATTGTGATCTGAATTCGACTTTTCGAGAGGCATCTCATCACCGCTTGGGATACAATGTGAGCCCCTCACGTGACCTTAGGATCTTGGCATTTGTGCTGGTGCTGCTGGCTGCTTTCGGCATTCAGCAGCTTCTGGCCGGCCAGTCTGGGAAAGGTCCAGATGGACCACCTGCACATCGAAATGGTCGAAACTTGACCGACTCCAACCTCCGCGAATGAGGTTGTATTGGGCTCCTCTGCGCATTCTGCTTGCCCACTCAGGAAAGCAGACCGACTTCGAAGTGTGGGCAACTGCCGGACAAAGCCTACCCAATGCCTTGCAAATGAGCTTCGTCGGCAAAGATCGGCTCCTCTCTTACCTGCTCCATGAGCTTCGTGAGTACATGTAGGATCAAGCTGGATGTAGTCGTGTGGTAATGTATGCCGCCAGTCCAGCTGTTGCTGCTAGAGGACCATGCGGCGGTAAACAGATGTATCTAAAACATGCTCCAATATACATCGCATCCTTTGCGTGGGTTTATATTGGCATGAGCAAGCTATCGGCCAGCAGCACCTGGCCCGTGGCACTGCCAAGGAACGTGACATGCTCGGCGACACCGGGTGGCGATGGCACTGGAGGCCCCTGGCGATTTGAGACAGTCAGATGGTGCCTCGCACGCGGGCAGGAGAGTGAAGTGAGAGTTCCCAGTGGATACCTTGAGGCATCCGCATATCACTAATCATCACAGGGCTGATTGAGCTGGAGTTCGCTCTAGAAACAATGGTATGACGGACGATCATGCACTTACCGATCTTGATTTCATAGCTTCTCCTCTCCGGCTTTACTTCAGATTTGAGGACTGGCTGTAGCAATAAAGTACAAAGACGAATTGTAACCCCTCCTGGCAATGGCAGATGCAGCAGTGCTTGAGCTTGGAGTTGCAAAGATTGCAGGCTCTGGCCTGTGTGGGAGTCCTCGTCGCAGCAACGGCTGTGCTCGCTTTGTTTTGGATGGAGTCATACCTGCAGCTGAAGTGCAGGAGACAATAGCTCGGGCAGAATTGAGCAGTAGCAAGTGATGAGAAAGCAGCAGGCTCCAAAACCCTATCCTGCCGAAGCAGATTGGATGATATTCTGACTTTGAATCAGGGGAACCATGTTGGACAGCGGGCACAGCAAGGAACCATACCGATGGGATTTTCCATTGAACTTTTCTTTGGTCAGGAGCTGGCGAAGCTCCTGCAATGGCTTGTCTCTGAGGCTGGGTTTACTGGGTAGGCCCCTGGGATATTTAATATTTTCCCTAATGGCTTTAATAAGGGACCCTATCTACTGATATTTTTCAATGGGTTTTAGGGGCCAACCTGGGTTTAGCAGCAGAAGTAGCGGAGGCGGCAGCTGCGGTGGCACTAGTGGAGTAGCAGTAGCTAAGTAGTAGCTTCCATTTTATTTTCCATTATCTCAATACAATCCATTTTTCCCCTATAACCCCCATATAACCCCTATAAACCCTTTAA